TCTCTCTCTCTCTCTCTCTCTCTCTGCGTGCGTGTGTGTGTGTGTGTGAATGTGTGTGTGTGTGTGTGTGTGTGTGTGTGTGTGTGTGTGTGTGTGTGTGTGTGTGTTTGTAGCATGCCCAGGGCCTCCTACACAGGCTCTAGGGGCATGACCATGTTCCTTAGGCCCCAGGCCACGCGACCCTTCTTTTGGGTGGCCTGAGGGCCGTGATGCACAGTCTGGTCATGGAGATTTTCTTTTGGCCTAGAGGTCGTTTTTGTCTGTTTTGACATTTGTTTTTCTTCAGATCCTTTTGTTTTCTTTTATTTTTCTGCAGAGTTTTGTCTGTTCCAGGTTTTGTCTGGTTCATGAGGAACAGGCACTCAGGCCCGAACCAGTGGACTACTGATTTCGCACCGGGGCCATTTTGAGGCCCAGGGCATGGTTGTCTGCTTGTGGGCTGGACTTAGTTTTGTCTACTACTGCCTGGTCCAGCCTTCATCTGTTCTAGGACTTGCCCTGCTGCATCAGCATGGAGGGTTGCCTGGACGTCCTGTAGGGACCCAGGCCGGCGGTTTTAGGCACAGCAGATGGACAGGACCTGGGCGTGCGCACTGGACGATCGATTGTGATCTAGATGGAACGGTCCGGGGCACAGACCAGTAGACCTCCTTGAAGCCCCAGAGGTATATAGCTGGGCCGGTTCTCAGCTGTAGGGGACAAATTTCGGTTTCACTTGGTGACAGGCTGATTGAGAGCAGCACTATTCTGGAATAGCAGCGCTAGATGTAGTTAGTCCCAGAGTCTTCAGCGGCATTTGGAACAGCAGAGAGACTTACCTGGCCCCATGGCCTCAAACTGCTATCAGCCATAGCCAGATCTTCAATGCGTATCCTGCTGCTGTTCAGATGCCATCTACACCAGTCAGTATTGGATACACACACACACACACACACACACACACACACACACACACACACACACACACACACACACACACACACACAGATAGAGAGACTTTGGTGACTGTATTCTGGGAGGCTATGCCGCCAGGTTCAGACTTGTAGTTGTTGTGGTAAGAATTGTGGACTTTGAGGGAGACTATCATTATTCGGCCATTGCCTTGGAGTTCTCACTCTCTTCTCCTCCTTCCTCCACATTTCGTCTCCTTCTCACCCCCATCCCCCTTCCATGGATTCTCCCCATGTGTGTTGCAAGTAGGGATCTTTCTTCCATTTATGTCCCCTGCTGCACTGTTTATGAGCCATTGTTCATGTTGGTGAGTTCCTGGTTCTGGTCTCTCTCTCTCTCTCTCTCTCTCTCTCTCTCTCTCTCTCTCTCTC